AAAAAAAAAAAAAGATTTCTTTCAACAGCCAGATTTCCAAGTTCATAGACGAGATAGTTAATAGAATTACCTAGAATGGGCTGTCCCATTGCGTAGCCATTCAAAAAGGTGACTCTAAAAATTTTAAATGACTTGGGGAAGTGATACAAAGGAATTGCCCCATAAAAAATTATTTCTGAAATTAATTAAATCTATGAGCAACATATTTTGTCGAACATATTGAGTCCACAGGGGGCCAGACCTTCATGCTAGGGAAGTTTCTCAATCCATCTCTCCTTTTGCCTGGCAGCAAACTAAACTGCTCCTAACGAACAGCCAAGCCTGACATTTTCAGGGGGAGAAAAATCCTTATACTTCTTACTCTAAGGAAGAGGGCAAATAATTTATTTAAATGGCTGAGTAAAAGAAAGAAACGAGGCATCTTTCATCTCAATCCCTTCGACTCAACCCCGTTTTCTGTCAGTTCTGTGACAACCGGCTTTGAGAGCAATGACAGATTTAGAAAGAGTTGACCAATACTGATCAAAAGAGCATACTAATAAGAGGTATCAATATATACTTTAGAATCTCACTCAGAAAATGTTCCTTCCCTCTAGCAGGCTATGAGGAACATTTTCAGCCATCTTTGAAAAAAGCAAGAGCTGCCAAGCACTGAAACGCACCTCCACACAGGGGAGCTTGTTGCATCTGACCCCCTAATCCCTCTGGTCTCCCTAGCATCTAGCATGACTCCCTGCAACAGGTATTCCCTCAGCAGGCAGGGCACCTTGGCGAACATAGAAACACGTTTTTGCCTTGACTCGTGTGCTTTCTGTTCCTCTTGCCACTTTTGTAAAGTAATTCCACACCCCAGCCCAGACTGCCTTTCACACAGACTCACCAGTAAACCTTGTTATTCTTAGTATCTGCAGACTTTTTGTTTGACTTTCAGGTACCTGAAGACAAGTATGTTTTATGGCTAGAGCCTCATGTTGAAACAAAATAGTGGGCCAGCCAGATAGCTCATTGGATTAAAGCCCCTGCTTCGGCAGACCGGGCCGGGGTTCCTGCCCTGCTGGTCCCGCCCCCAGGGCATGCTGAAAAGGCATCTGAGACTGGGCGTGGTGGTGCACCCCTATAATCCCAGCGCTTGTGAAGCTGAAAACAGGAGGATCCCTATGAGTCAGATCTGTGTAATGAGACCCTGCAGACCCTGTACTAAATACATTTAAAAAAAAAAATAGTGATTAACAGGTTTTCAGTTTTTAAAGATTTTAGTAAAATCTGAATAGAATTTGTTAAGAGAAAAATCACAGGGACTTGGAATTTCATCCAGACAATCCACACTTAATGGTGTCTCTAAAAATTGTCTTAGTTGCCTGCAGAAATGCTATCACTAAATTATAGCTTCATGGAGCCTTGGTTTTATGGGATATAAGCATTTGAAGACTATGCCTTCATCGTTAGCAAAACTGTATCCTAAATCTATTTTGCTACTGAATTTCCCTTCTAGAAAAATGTTTATGATAAAATTTACCACAGGTAATTTTTCAGAGGGAATAAACTTACATCCTTCTTGACAAACCGGTATGCTTCTGTAGTAGTTATTGATAGTTTGACTACCAAACTACCCCTCTTTCTTCTCTACAAATTTTAGAATTTATTCAGGATGATAATATGTCCAGTGCCTAGGGTTATCAGGCCGAACAAAAAATAAAGGACACACAGTTAAAATTTAATTTCAGATAAACAATAAATAATTTTAGCATATCTCACATATGAAGTGTTTAAATATCTCACAATTTTCATGACTGGGTTAAACTAAGCATAACTCAGTGGCTACCTTCTCTGCCTGCCGAGATGGTGCTCGACCCCGCAGATCAGCACCTCAGACATGTTGAAAAAGATGTTTTGATTCCTAAAATAATGAGAGAAAAGGCCAGAGAGAGGTATTCTGAACAAGTTCAGGATTTTACCAAATGTTGCAAAGACTCTGGAATCCTAATGGTAATAAAGTGTCGGAAAGAAAATTCTGCATTGAAAGAATGCTTCACTATTTACTATAATGATCCAGCATTTTATGAAGAATGTGAAATGGAATACCTGAAAGAAAGGGAAGATTTCTGAAGAACTGGAATTCCTAGCAAGAAAAGACTACCGAAACTTCCTATAAGCATGTAGGCAAATATTCGAATGGCAGGAAATCTCATTCATAGAAATTATCTGCAGTATAAATCATGTGAAATAATGGGATTCAAGATAAGAATGTACATTTCCTTTATCCTAATGAAACATATTACTTGTGTATGAAATAAGGATTTTTATTGCAAAAGTCTGATTTATTAAATATGCTATAAGATTAAATACTTAAAAGGAAAAAAAAAAACTAAGCATAACTCATCCTGCTAAATATTTACTATAGATATGTCCCTAATTCTAATGCTAACTCTAACCCTGTCACTGGTGAGACATTTAATCCTGACTTAATTGATTGGCTTGAAGAGCCTAGATTAATAAAGCCTACTTCTGGGGATGTTTGCATAGGTCAGGCAGGTGTGACCGACCCTGGGGACTCTACGGTTCCTATCCGCTTCCTCTCGAGTGCTCGCCCCACTTCACTGTTTCCCAGACGTCACGAGTTGAGCTTCTTGGCCCCTCCCTGATACTGCAACGCTTCTGCCTTGACGTCAGCTGGACGTGGACGGAGACTTCTGCAGCTGTGAGCTGAAGTCATTCTCGCCTCCTGTCAGTTGCAGGAGTCAAGGGTCCGGTCCCCCCAACAGGAAAGCTGGCTATGACCTGGAGGTGTGCTTGCCCTCCCTTGCGTATAACCAGCGGCAGCCATGTGACCAGAAAGACTTAAGAGAATGTAGTCAAGTATAGTTTCTGGGTGGAGACTAATGCCGTTATTTTTCTTTTCTTCTTACCTAGAATCTATGTAAGGCCCAGATCTGTGGAAGATGGCTTATACCATGAGGCAGCCAGTGGGACTTAGTTTTATCCCAGTGCTGTGTTGGTTTTAGCAGGTGGTGGGCTCAAAGTGGGACTCAGCTTGGAGACACTGGTGGCCAGAAGCATGACATATGAGCCTGAGGCTGGCCCATCCATGGAAACTCTGACCAGAGCCAAGTAAAATCCTGCAGGGTCTAACCAGAGAAAGTGTAACTATAGATAAGGCATCCAGACCTACCCTAAGCCCAGGGAGAAGCTTGTGGGAATTGATTCTTTCTACATATTCTGCTGATTTTGTTTCGCTTTTTAGCAATACATCAACAGTGTATTTGAGACAAAGGTTGGCTCGGATTGCCCTCTAGTACTGAAACAGAAATAATTATAGCAGAATCCTGGCAAATCCGAACTTGGGTGCCATCCAGTGCTGAAATGGTTAAAATGACTACAGGCTTTGAGAAGATAGCAGCTTGCCTAGAATTTCTAGAAAGATAGGCACAAACAAAACCAGATTACGAATGAAATAGGATGGGTGCCCTCATGGGACGAGATTCTCAGATCTCAGTCCACAACTTGGTACTCACTAAAGAAAAACGCACCTCTTTTTTTTCTATTTCCCCTTCCTAATGAGGCTTGGAATGTGCCCTCCCTTTATTCCCCTACTCTTTCTGCAAGGAGTAAGCACAGTGTAACAGCAGGGGACAGAGCCAGGATGTCACTGAGGGCTGGAATAGCTGTTGATATATACCTCACAGGGAGGAAATCCCTTAAAATGAGGGGTAAGTCCTAAAACAAATGCCATCCTAATGACTAAATGGGGTACCAGCCTCTGTCTCTGCAGCAAATCCATAAAAGCTAGTCTTGCTCCTTTGTTAAGGGGTCAGACCAATCCTTCTTTTAGGAACTGTGCTTCCTGTGGCTTCTCAAACTAAAGTCGCTTCCCTATTCTCTCTTCTTTTATAATTCTGCTTAATAAATCTACCTATGACTCACACTGATGCATCCTGGCCTTTTTTTTCTATGATGACAGCCAACAAACGTGCTCCATGGTGTGGAGGGTAAGCTGAGCTCCCCATAATCTCTTTAAGAGACCTCCACGGACAGCAACACTCAGTGACATGCCAATTTCATTATTTCCACCCAAACTGAGCAAAAGAACCATCGATTGATGGCAGACAGACTGGAATAAATACTTAACCCTTTAATGCCCAGATGTGTCACACACCAACAGGCATCAAGGGGTTTCAGGAAACCCTGGCCTCGCCTAAAACTGAAAAGTAAGTGCCAGAAACTGATCAGGTAATGACCAATATGGGAAAAATCTCAGAGAATTTAAAACAGCCATTTTCAGGAAGCTCATTGAGCTTGAAGAAAACACAAAGACCTGTCTCACTACTCTTACAGAAACTTGGAGATAAAAGCAATTTTAAAAAATCATGCAGAAATTCTTGAGCTGAAAACTACACTTAATGAAATTAAAAAGATAGACAACATGAATATCAGAAGAGACCAAAAAGAAAAAAAAATCATACCTATTTGAAAATATACCATTGGAGGAGGAAGAAAATGTAAGGGAATTTTGGGGCAGTATGAAGTGGGCAAATTGATAGATTTTGGGTGCTCAAGAACAGAGTAAAGAAGGGCAGGCTCAAGGACCTGTGTAGAAGTATGACAAAAGCCATTTGTATCCTTGTGGTCCCAGATGAAGAAAAGATACAGGACAAGACTCAAAAAAATACTTGAAGAAATAATAGCTGAAACCCTTCCTAATTTGTTTTTGTTTTTTATGCATTTGGTACAGGGTCTCACTACACAGTTTGGATTCCTAGTGATCCTCCTGTTTTCAGCCTCCCCAGCACTGGGATTACAGGCGTGTGCCGCCATGCCAGACTCAGTGGCCGGCTCAGTGTGCCCTGGGGGCGGGGCCAGCACTGCATGTGGTGCCGGGGATCAAACCCTGGTCCCTGCACTTGCCTAAGTAGGTGCTTGGTCTGCTGAGCTGTCTCACCAGCCCAACCCTCCCTAATTTGGTAAAGTATAAATCTACAGATTCATGACACTGAGCCAAACTGAAATGTGATAAAAACCAAAACAACCTGGATCAATACTCATCATAACTGAGCTTCTAAAAAGTATATGCAGAGAAAAGTGTCAAAAACAGCAAAAGAAAAGCAGCACTTTACCTATACTGAGTCAAATGCAAATGACAGCAGATTTTCACCAGAAACCATAGAGGCCAAAAAAGTAGTAGCACAACTTTTGTTCAAATATGAAGGAAAGAACATCAATGAATCATCACTTATAATCAAAGAAAATATCCTTTAGAAAGGAGTAAGTCAAGACGTTTCCAAATGAGAGGAAATCAAAGCATTCCCAGATGAGGGAAAATCAAGATAATTTGTCATTAATATACTGATCCTAAAAGAATGGATAAAGGCAATAGAAGTGGGGCAGAATGAAATTTGAAGACATTATGTATTTTTTCTTTACATAAGATAAGATGTGGTTAAAAAAATATGGTGTCTATATTTTTAAAAATTCATTACAGTAAAATACACATTGCCATTAATTCTCCTCAGAAGATTCCCCTTCACTCTCAGCACACTTGTGTCATCATTTTTGCCGCTTTTTGAAACAGTTCTGGAGGTTTCCTTTCATGCCTTCAGTTGTAGTCTCATGGCTGCCTTGTCCTGAACTGATTCAGAACATTGACCTTTCCTGGCCGCTTTGACTTGGGGGAGGAGCCAGAATTGCCCAGTGGCCGACCCGGGAGGAAGGTTGGTGGGGCACCCTCCATTCTTGTGAGCCTTCTGTTGGCTGACACTCAGCTGAAGCTTTCGCCGTATTTGTGGTCAGACTTCTTAAAGACACTCACAGGAGAGGACTTCAGACCTGCTCCTGAAAATGCCAGGAAGGATGGGA